CCATTTAAAAAGTAGCTTTTGAGCTCTATTTGCTGTATAAGACCAGTACCCCAAATGTGACACTTACCCACTGACTCAGTAGTCCTTTACCAACCATCCTTGATTTTTTAAAATAAGGCCAATTCACTTCAAGTAATGTCATCAAATTATACCCGCTGGTGTAGTGTAAACACTAGTGACGTCACTGAAGCGTCTGCTATTTACCGATAACTGGAACTAATGTCGGTATCGAGTAAAATTTTTCCATTTACTTGAAATGGATTTACCGATTTATTTGTTTATTTATAATATACTGTAACATATTAAACACACTGCAAGTATTTTCTTTAATTTATATGCTTGCTTCACACGAGACGATCGGTGGTGGGAGTGTTACCTCGTCTCGGTGGTGGGACTGTGTTCCCACTGTTTACCGTACTTTTTTTTAGTAAGTTCATTTTTGTTAGATTTTTTACTAATAGTGTTATTTTATGTGGATAAAAATGTTACAATGGACTTAAAACTATAAAAAATCATCTAAGCATGCTTGAAAACATACATATCGACACCAAGATCACCCAGATTGACCAACTACATCAATTTCTATAAGAAAAATCAACTTTTGAAGGTCAATATGGCGGTCACCTTGAAAAATGGTCGCCATCTTGAATTTTTAAATGGCCAATCAGGCAGACTTGACTAGTAACCATTAGAGAATTACCATGCCAAATTTGGTGCTTGTACCACCATTTTCATGATTCTCTTGAAAAATTGCATTTAGCTGCCCCACTAATGTCACCACTCCCATCTCAACATGACACTCATATACTGAAATATTGTATTTCATACTACATATGACTTTACAAAAAGAAATGTCCACGTCTGGTTAAATAACTCTTGTAGATATAATACCAGTTGAATAAACGAAACTAAAAAACTGGAGATTGTAATTACAGTGAAGCCTTGACAACTCCATTATGAAGTTAGGGATTAGATGACGCCAAATACAATCACCTTAATGCACTTTAAGAGAGAGGAGTCACCGTGCCAGGGCTTAATATTATCCTGGACCCTAGAGGTTGATGACGTATTCAGTGTCGGGCAGAAATACATCGATGTACACAGCACATGATCCCAATCAACTCCAGTATAGGTGTTAATAATGTAGAGGTGACCAGGTGTGTTGCATGTTGGTAGTGTTGGATGGTGATGCAGGAAAGAGGTAGTGTGTTGAGGGTGGTGTGTGGTTATGACTCACTCCCACAACCCCCCCACACCACTCACACATCCTCACAACTGTACCACAAAGCCCCCACACTACTCATACAGCATCCTCACAACACTACCACAACCCCCCCACACCACTCACACATCCTCACAACTGTACCACAAAGCCCCCACACTACTCATACAGCAGCCTCACAACACTACCACAACCCCCCCACACCACTCACACATCCTCACAACTGTACCACAAAGCCCCCACACTACTCATACAGCATCCTCACAACACTACCACAACCCCCCCACACCACTCACACATCCTCACAACACTACCACAACCCCCCCACACCACTCACACATCCTCACAACTGTACCACAAAGCCCCCACACTACTCATACCGCATCCTCCTAACACTACCACTGCACAACCCCCCCACACCACTCACACATCCTCACAACTGAACCACAAAGCCCCCACACTACTCATACCGCATCCTCCTAACACTACCACTGCACAACCCCCCCACACCACTCACACATCCTCACAACTGAACCACAAAGTCCCCACACTACTCATACCGCATCCTCCTAACACTACCACTGCACAACCCCCCCACACCACTCACACATCCTCACAACTGAACCACAAAGCCCCCCACACTACTCATACCGTGATCCTCCTAACACTACCACTGCACAACCCCCCACACCACTTACAAATCACACTACCACAACCCCCCCACACCACTCACACATCCTCACAACTGAACCACAAAGCCCCCACACTACTCATACAGCATCCTCATAACACTACCACAACCCCCCCTACACCACTCACACATCCTCACACTACCACAACCTCCCACACCACTTACACATCCTCACAACTGTACCACAAAGCCCCCACACTACTCTTACAGCATCCTCTGCTTTTCTACAACCCCCCCACACCACTCCACCCACATCCTCGCTGTGCCTGGCCCCACACTACTCTTCTAGCATCCTCCCCCTTTTCTACAACCCCCCCACCTCCACACATCCTCACAGCTGTACCTACAGCCCCACACTACTCTTCCCCAGCATCCTCCACCTTTTCCCCACAACCCCCCACACCCCACTCACACATCCTCACAGCGCTGTACCCCTGAAGTCCCCCACACTACTCATACCATCCTCCTAACACTACCACTGCCTGCCCCCCACACCACTCACATCCTCCTGGCACAGACCACAAAGCCCCCACACACACTACTCCTCCACAGCATCCTCCACCCTTTTCCCACAACCCCCCCCACACACCACTGCAAATCCTCACACCCACAACCTCCCACCACTTACACATCCTCCCCTGCCCTACACAACCCCACACCACTCCACACATCCTCCACAGCACTACAACCCCCCACACCACATCCCCATCCTCACAGCACACCCCCACAACCCCCCACACCACTCCACATCCTCCCACAGCACTACCATAATAAAATTAATTATTTCTAAGTGTGGTCGACTTCCTACACAAGACAGGCTATAAATAGCCGTCTTATCTCAACCTCCTTCCTTCCCCTCATCCCTCTGTTCTCAAGGAGAGAGTCTTGATAAATAACTTTTGTTTGTTTATTTTCATTGTTTCGTAATTTATCATGTTGTATCAAAAGTAATAATATTACCCCTAAAAAGTTTTAGGCATACCAAATGGGGAGATTCTGCACCAGGAAGATGTGGAAGCACAATGTACAGTATTGTCTAATAGGTAGACCCTACTTCCATATGGCATCACGAAAATTGTGACCAAGTCTTAGAGTTGCTAGGTTATCTTTCTGTCTCATTACCTTTACAATTGCAGAGTTTCAATTGTTTCTCTTCCTTTACAACAACACAACATACAGCACAATATAATGTTTCTCACCTTTGATCTTTTTCCATTTTATTTATTGTTGGTTATTTAAAATAATGCAATTCACTTCAAGTATTGGCATCAAATTATACCAGCTGGTGTACACTAGTGACTCATAGCGGCAGTTATTTAATTGGAACTAATGTTGGTGTAGTGAAATATTTCCATTTACTTAAAATAGATTTGCCGATTTATTTGTTTATTTATTTATTTATAATATACTGTAATACATCATACTACAAGTATTTTCTTTAATTTATATACTTGTTTCGCGAAAAGGAGGCTAGCAATATAACTGGTGATCATTGAGACCAAACTCCCGAATCCATGACTCCATGAAGTGACTTCTGTTCATCATTTGCATATCCTAAATTTACTGCTGTCAGTGGTTTTCAGAATTAACGCAGTCATTTACTGAATATTCTTTTGGCAAAAATTAATTTTTAAATTAATTATTTTATAGGAGATAAATATTATGATCGATAAATATACAGATATGCATTACTGACCACCTCCGAACACAAGGACGGCTAAAAATAGCTACAGGCGGTCACGATCAAAGTCACTTTCCCTGGTAGGACTTTGTGAGAGTGGTTTACCATATTTCCATCACCACTCTTGACGCAATATTTAAGAGTAGGTACTATCTTGGTGATTAAAGCTGACCCTAACTTTGGGCAGATTTTTTTAATGTTCAAATTCCGTCTTATAAGCCGAGATATGCGCCCCCTAACTTTGGGCAGATTTTTTAATGTTCAAATTCTGCCTTATAAGCGAGATATCTGATATGCACATCTGGTTTACTATTCCCCAAAAATTTTCTGCATAATTTTATGTAATGTACTGTGCTGCACTGTACTGGCTATTTCAGTCAAGGGTGGATCTAGGCATTGAAGGCAGGAAGGAAAGAAGGAGGGAAGAGAAGGGAAAGGAAGGAAAGGGAACACCCTCCCCCCCCTCCCTCAGTAATTGGTATCTCTGGGTTGTGTGACATAGTTTTCAATAGAATCACCTTTTGCAGGTCGTGAGCAAGCTGCACTAACTGGAGAGCGACTTAAACAACTCGAGCTACCTTATTCTCGTATTGTGTACTCCACCATGACCCGAGCAACAGAAACGGCAAAGATAATCAGTGGAAAGTTGAGTTGTGTAAAAGACGTGGAACATTGTGACCTACTGAGAGAGGGTGCACCCTTTCTACCTGAGCCTCCCATCAATGGGTGGCAGCCAGAAATGCATGTAGGTTTTTATTAGTGTATTTATTGGCATTAGATGGATGCTTACATAACCCACTTTTACAACAGTTACTAAGGTATTACATTTTTTATCGTCCCCGTTCAATTAAAGTTAGTAAGTTCGTCATAATTTTGTGGGACTTAAAAGGATTGTTGATAGTGTTGATGTTATGGTGTTAAGTTTATAGTACAGTATATGAGGGAGGTGGTGGTGTCAAGTGTACAGTTTGAGGGAAGGTGGTGTTAAGTGTACAGTATGAGGGAAGGTGGTGTTAAGTGTACAGTATGAGGGAAGGTGGTGTCAAGTGTACAGTGCAGTATATGAAGGCAGGTGGTTTTAAGTGTATAGTACAGTATATGAGGGAGGTGGTGTACAGTGCAGTATATGAAGGCAGGTGGTTTTAAGTGTATAGTACAGTATATGAGGGAGGTGGTGGTGGTGTCAAGTGTACAGTATGTGAGGGAAGGTGGTGTTAAGTGTACAGTACATGAGGGAAGGTGGTGTTAAGTGTACAGCACAGTACTTTTTTTTTTTTACGGGGTAGAGCCCACCTGGGCACAGGTCATCGACCCGCAACAGGGTCTAGGGGGCGAAAAAATAAGTGCAAAAAGAAGTTAAAAATAGAAAAGAAAAGATCATATTAATCTACACCACGATGCTGGAAAACCAGCTTTTCGAAGTGAGACAGGTGGTAAGAGTATGGAAACACAGAAGAAGGGAGAGCATTCCAGTTTGGCTGTGTAAGGAAAGAAGGATGTACTATAACGTGTTATTCTTGTGTGACCGACAGCCACAGAGAAACAGTGGTCATCGCGGGCAAGACGAGTTACGAGCCCACGGCTTTGCCGGCGGTTCACAGGATGCCAAATCCACCGAACATTGCCCGTTAAAGTACATGTAAAAGAGAGAGTGAAGCAACATTGCGGCGAAGAGAAAGAGAAGGAAGATTATCAACTAAAGGAGGAGAGTCAATAAGATTAAATGCCTTTGATTCTACCCTATCTAATAGTTGGCCATTAGAACCACCCCAGATATGAGGGCAGTACTCCAAGATAGGATGAATGAATCCCTTATAAACTTGAAGCAACTGCTTAGGAGTGAAGTAGCTACGGCATCTGCACAACATTCCCAGCTTTCGGGAAGCAGCTTTAGCAATGTTGTGGATGTGTGGCTTCCGTGACATATTAGAGGAAATGGTGAGACCTAGCATATCTATTTTAGAACTTGGCAGAATGATTGCGTCCTGAAATGTGATTGGTGGGAGATCATCTAATTTGGAAAGTGTAATTGGTAAATACCGAGTTTTATTACTATTGAATATAACCAAGTTTCTACCTCCCCATTCGGAGATGCGCATTGATCGATGAAATGATCTCAGCTGTAGAAACAGACCTAGTTTGAGAATTAGGGGAAGGAAAAAATTTGAAGAGTGAAGAGTATAATCAGCATAAGAATGGATAGAATTATTCGTAATGTGAAGTAAATCATTGATAAAAAGAGGGAAGAGAATAGGTGAAAGAACAGAACCCTGTGGGTCACCACTATTGGGAGAGAAAGAGCGAGAGATCGATCCCTCGACAATAACTGCCATGGATCAGTTCTCAAGGAAGCTAGAAATTAGAGAACAAGTGGGGGAGAGAAACCATAAGAGGGAAGTTTAGAAAGCTAAGACTTGTGCCATGCCCTGCCAAATGCTTCGGAGATGTCGAGGGCCGCGACTAAAGTTTCCCCATAATCCCTAAGAGAGGATGACCAAAGATGGTTGTAGTAAGAGAGCAGATCACCAGTACATCTCGCCTGGCGAAAGTCATACTGGTGATCCGACAAAAGAGAATGGCGTTCAAGGTGACGGAGAAAATGAGAGTAAGATAGTTTAAAAAATCTTATTGAGGGATGAAGTTAGGGCAATGAGGCCATGCTTCCAAGAAGGATGAAAAGTGTGTTTATAGACAAAGGCAAGCAAGCAGAGGGGCTAGAATGTCTGCACACTCCCTCAGAACACTAGGGGGTAGTATTCCGTCCTGTCCATGCGCCTTACTTGCATCCAACCTGGATACACACAAGCACCCTTACGAGTGGAGATTATAGGAAAGTGCATAGGTTCAGTAGGAGTAGGAGGGATAGTTGGAATCGTTTAAGGTGGAAGTTAAAGGAGAATAAGGTGCCAAAGTGATTGGCTTTATCAGGGGGAGAGTTGGAAGAGAGGAGGAAAAGAGGGACTGCAGAAGTTATTACAGATGTTTTGGCCCAGAAGGCTATACTAGAAGAAGAGTTAGTCAGGTCAGCGGTCTTTCTATCTTATAAATTTCCGCTTGGCCCTACGAAGAATAGCCTTATAACAATTCCAAGAAATAATAAGAGTGGGCAATAGGAGGAGATAGTTTCAAACTTTATGCGCCCCATCTTTCTCCCTACACACAAGAGAACAGGAGCGATCAAACCATGATTGTAAAGTGAAAGTTTTGGTAGAAAATGGGATAAATGCACTGCTACCACCCTGTATAACCCCAGCAATGCTGTCATCACATACCGAGGCGTCCCGAGTGGAAAAGCAACATTCATCCCAAGGGAAGCCTGAGAAGACTTCTCGCAAGGATTACCAGTTTGCCTTCTGATAGTGTCATAGTTGGCATTTAGAGGGGGTTGGCGGAGATGGTCGTGCCCAGTTTGATTTAAAAGAAATGAGATTATCAGTAGACCTTAAGGGGGGAGAAATTGAGTGTGAATAATGTGAGGGGTTATAGGTAAATCAATGATCAAGACTGTTATTAAGTTGATTGTGTCGATCAGGAACCCGTCTAGGGTGTTTAATTATTTGTTCCAGATCATTAAGGAAAAAAGTAACTCGGCTCCACCTGGGTCATCCCTTGCAGAGCTAAGCCACACTGTGATGTACATTGAAATCCCCAAGGTAGAGGATCTCGGTGTTGTGGTGTGTGGATAGTAACGACTCTTGGCAAGAAGTGAGATAGTCCATGAGTTTCAAATAGTTGGAAGAGTTGGGAGAACACTATAGGAAACAGTCATAATTGGTAGAGATATTTTGAGCCAGATGACATAATAAGAAAAGATTCAAGATCCGTGAGTCGAGCTATAGGTGTACGCGTGTTGCAGTAGGCGCATACACCTCCCGTAGAATGGAAAGGGTATAAAGGTTATAGCTGAAGACTGGAAAATGTTAGGGTGAAGCTGCTTTGGTCAGTTGAAGTTCAGATAGCAGTAATAGATGGTGCTCCACAGAACGAAAATTGTATCAGGCCGCTAATGTTCGAAAAATGAAGTGTGAAAAAAGCCGATCCTCCAGCAACCGTGGTGGCGTCAGTTGAGGCTCCGGTAGTTTGATGATGATCAGGTCGGCCCTGGGGTCCACAACCTTCCCGACCAGTGGGACCCATCCGAGAAGGCCCCGCTTCAATAGTATTGTCAACTGAGGGAGGGAGGTGTTAAGTGTACAGTATATGAGGGAAGGTGGTGTTAAGTCTACACGATGAGGGAAAGTGGTGGTGTTAAGTGTACAGTACAATATGTGAGAGAAGGTGGTAACTGTACATTACAGTACTGTATATGTGGGAGGTGTTAATTGTACAGCATATGAGGGAAGGAGGTGGTGTTAAGTGCACAGTACAGTATGAGGGAATGTGGTAAGTGTACAGAATATGAGGGAAGGTGGTGTTAAGTGTACAATACTGTACAGTATACGGGGGAGGTGGTGTTAAGTGTACAGTATATGAGATACATTGGGGTATGCTATAACGAACGGATCCTGCTACGAATATTCCTATAACGAACGGTTCTACCTATAAAATTGAGAAGGCTATAACGAACGAAACTCCTACAATTAACATTACAGGTATTTAAATTTTTTTTTTTTCTAATAATTTATTGTTTTTTATTACAAGTATTAATGATATTCTCTATTTCAGGGGTTTAAATGCATATTTATGCACTTTTTTACAATTTTTACAATTTTTACAATTTTATATTATATTTTTCAGTGTAAAGTGGTTGTATTTGGGGGCCTGGAACGGATTAATCCTATAACGAACGAATGCTATAACGAACAAGGTTCTAGAACCAATTAGATTCGTTATAGCATACCCCACTGTAGGTGGTAAGTGTACAGCACTTTATATGAGGGAGGTGGTGTTAAGTGTACAGTATATGAAGGAAGGAAATGGCGTTTCATGTACAGTACAGTATATGAGGGAAGGAGGTGTTAATTGTATAGTACAGTATATGAGGGAGGTGGTATTAATTGTATAGTACAGTATATGAGGGAAGGTGGTGTTAAGTGTACAGTATATGAGGGAGGTGGTATTAATTGTATAGTACAGTATATGAGGGAAGGTGGTGTTAATTGTATAGTACAGTATATGAGGGAAGGTGGCGTTAATTGTATAGTACAGTATATGAGGGAAGGAGGTGTTAATTGTATAGTACAGTATGAGGGATGGTGGTATTAATTGTATAGTACAGTATATGAGGGAAGGTGGTAATTGTATAGTACAGTATATGAGTGGAAGGTGGTATTAATTGTATAGTACAGTATATGAGGGAAGGTGGTGTTAATTGTATAGTACATATGTATAATTGTAGGCAGTATAGGGAAGGTAGCATTGTATAGTACAGTATATGAGGGAAGGTGGTGTTAATTGTAGTACAGTATATGAGGGAGGTGGTATTAATTGTATAGTACAGTATATGAGGGAAGGTGGTGTTAATTGTATAGTACAGTATATGAGGGAAGGTGGTGTTAATTGTATAGTACAGTATATGAGGAAGGTGGTGTTAATTGTATAGTACAGTATATGAGGGAAGGTGGTGTTAATTGTATAGTACAGTATGTGGTGGTGTTAATTGTATAGTACAGTATATGAGGGAAGGTGGTGTTAATTGTATAGTACAGTATATGAGGGAAGGTGGTGTTAATTGTATAGTACAGTATATGAGGGAAGGTGGCGTTAATTGTATAGTACAGTATATGAAGGAAGGTGGTGTTAATT